GTTCCACAACTCCCACTCCATCATCAGCTTTAGTAATATAAACTAGCTGTGGATTTTAGTGACTAACTCATGTTTTCCCCTCTCTCCTCATTTTTTTCTCTCACTATTTGTTTTAGAATAGTTGACATTTTTACTTATCGAAGATTGTTCTTTGCATGACCATTTCTAGATTACACCAGAATGAAGTGAAGAGAGGTAAATGCAGACATTAGGCGCAGCGATCACCTGATAGATAGGCTACGTGCAGTTTGTTGAAAAGTTAAATATATAGGCTAATAAATGCATTTGATTGGTAAACCAAATTCAAATGTGACATTTTAATCTCTAATGGTAATGCATGGAATTTACGGGAAAACTCTGGAAAAACTAAATAATAGCGCTAAAAAGTGAGGGGGTGGTGGTGCTTTGGCGATCGGCACTACCAATGTCCGTCAATCTACTCCTCAGTCAATCACGGGCCCCCTCCTTGATCGGGCCCCGGGGCTTCAGCCCTGCCTAGCCCAATGGTTAATGCGGCCCCGATGACAGTAAAAGTGTACAGTTGCCAAGATACAGGGGGTGGGTAACTGAAATTATTACAGAGTGTGCGGTCTTCTCTTTTAATTGTATATTTGTAACAACTGGATAATTTGTATTAACAAGCATCCACCCCCTTAGTGCCCCTTTTTTGGTTTGGGCCAAAAAAAGGGTCTGTGCACAGCCCTGCGGCAGAGGATCTGAAAAATTCCCAGTATAGGTCTTTTCATTGGACGGGAAATTGTGTCTGTGATAAAAAGGTAAAAGGAGCGAACCGAATGCTGAACATCGAGAGATAACGAAAGTAAGACGTACTTGGTTATTTATAGGAGTTTTCTCTTGCGCTGATTGGATAAATGGTGTAATCACTAATGATGAACTGGCTGTGTTAATTATCTGTGCGTGCTCCTACCGAAATTTGTTTATAAAACATCACATATAAACAAAAAGGCTAACCGAGACTTATCATAGCACTTGCATATTATTGCTCTTTTGTTGGTTTTGATTGCTTCTATTGTCCTCCTTTGTAAGTCGCTTTAGATAAAAGCATCTGCTAAATGACTAAATGTAAATGTAAATATATTTCTATTAATATCTCAAAAAATGTGTTTTAGGGATTCATGACCCTTTAATATTGCTTGTCGCTAAGTATTCATGACTTCACCAGATGGAATTCCCAGACTACCACAATATTGTTATAAAAAATAGTGATTGGAGAAACATTTCATTCATGATGTGTCTGCCACATTACTTCAGCGAATATTCCTTATCATAGCAATCAAAGACTTAATTGCTCTCGTGGTCTGCGTAGCGCCAATTCAAGTCGAACATATTTCTTACCTGCTGGAGCTGGTTAGCCATGGAGCACAAGTTACCGTGGCGATGAACAGTGGTAAAAGCCGAGCTACTTTCTTGGTGCCTAAAACCCAGGGTTAGCACAATCTAACCTGAAATTTACCTTGCTATAGCCACCTAAACCGGCTTCATGGTATAAGCCCCTTGGGTAGGCTCAAAGACACACTATCAAGAATAACATTGGTGTCAATGTAGAAATGTTTAACCTCCATTATATCTGTTTCTGATAAATGTATTGAATTTATCGAAAAATAATTCCATTACTGTTTTACATGAACACCCATTCCTGAACACACACACACACACACACACAGAGGTAAACATAAATATACACATGAATACAATACGTTTATTTTTTGTCTTGTACGTAATCACAAAAACATGCACTCATACTACAGGTCTAAAATTTGCACACATTGAACACGGAAAACTAAATCGAAATGACAAATAGTGTTGTTTTCTCACAATATGGTATTTTGTTCCAACAGCTATTGTCTTATACAGTGTTGCTGATAAAGTCGGAGGTGAGACGTTTGACTTGAAATTTTTCACTTCCAACCTCAATGCTCCTGTCAATCCCACATCACAGTCACATGTACGCTGCCATGACTCAGCAAGAGCATTTTGTGTTCTTAAGCAAATTAAGTCAAAAGTCATGAACACAAAATGCTTTTTCGGTAAAAAAAAAAAAAAGGATCTTTATATATTTATTATGTATGTAAATAATTTTGAATGTATTGTTCCTTCTTTTTTTGTTTTTGTTTTTTTGTAATTTTATGGAATATTTTTTCTCTTTCCCTTTTTTCTTTATTAGTATCGTCATTATTACTTTTATTGTTAACATTGTTATTATTATTTATTATTATTAGCATTGTTATTGGCTTTATTTTATTAATTCAAATGGTTTTTTTTTTTTTGCTTTGCTTTCTGAAAAGCCTCCCGTGGACTGGTGTTGAAAATTAGCATGTGTGCTAAAACACTTAAGCAAGTGCATATGGTTTGTCCAATGTAACTGTGATGTCCATGTTAAATAAAGATTTAATAATAATAATAATATTTTGTGTCTTTGAAATGACATCAAATGACACTTCTCACTGAAGTCTGGGTTGATTGAGCTCCATTCCAGTCATTGTTTTGAAGTAGGAGGTGGGAAAACTGAGTTTTCATCTATAACGGAGCATTTAGGTAGAGAACGGTTCACAGATACTGGTATGAGGAATACCCTTTTAAAACAGAACACTTTAAAACTTTAACTCCTCTCTCTGATGTATTCCGTGAACTGAGGTTTAGATGATTTTAGACTGAAGTGACAAACAGATACTCATTTCAAACTGTTCTGTGAATGAGAAACCAAAAGAGCCTTATTTTTGCTTGTTCAATTAAATGTAATTATCCAAACTCTCAATAGCGTCCAGTTTTGAATATTTTTTCCATTCATCTGGTATCTTACCCTGTCCCTCAAATGTTTTTTTGTGGTGTTTTTCCAGATCTTTCTTGAATCTGCACACAAACCACTTCCAGTAGGGCAGGTCAGAGAGATCAGGGGGGGTGCTCCAGTCTGCATAAACTCCTCCTGCTCTTCTGTAATCTCTCCAGGGGACTTCATCAATTGAGTCATTTGGACAAAAATATTGAATGCTGCTTGCTTCTGCTGATGTGCAGATATAAGTAGACAAATGAGATGTATTATTGAAATATATTCCATTCAGACCAATACTACGATGGAAAGGAGTATTGTGATCTCCATGATGGTTTCCTATGGTGTTGGTGCAAATGGCTTTACAGAAAGGACACTGAACCCAACAACACTGACAGAAGTGATCAGTCAGAAGCTCATGTGGCCTGAACTTATAGTCTAGCTTTACTGGAAATGTCTCTGTGTTGAAACTATTGCTGATGTCAGACATTATAGCAGTAAGATCTTTCTTTATCACATCTTCTAGGAGGTTGAAATCATCAACATCATGATGTTTCTCTCCACTGAGGTGTTTTTCAGAGAAGATCAGCTCATTTGAGAGCTGCTGTGTGAAACTCTTCAACCACAAACCAGCATCTCCTCTGTTCACTTGAACATGTTCAGTAGATTCATGTGCTGCTTTCATGATCTTCTGCTGCAGTAGTTTAATGTTCTCCTTCATCTTGGGTAAAACACTGACACTGAACTGATCAGTGATGTACCGACTGACTTCATCTCTGATGAAACCACTGAAGTGATCTCTGGCATTATGGATGTAGTTCATGTATTTGTTGAAATCCTCCTCTTCTGCCAGTGTCTTCAGGATGTGTTTCTCCAGATTTGATCTGTTTCCATTCAGTGATTCACAGTTT